ATGTAGCAGCATCCAAGTCTGATGTTGTTCTCTCCAGAGTGTTCTTGTATGTACTTAACTATAAAATTGAGGGTGTGTTCACTGTTGATGTTTATATTTACACAACATATGCATTTGGCAGTTACACTGACCTCATCCTTGAGGCGGGTATAGTTGCTCTCATGCTCCTTCAGGTCCTGCTGCAGTTTGACTCCAAGCTGGTTGGCAATCTGCACCTTCCTCTCAGTCTCTTTGTTGTTGTTCTGCTGTGATTCGAGCAAGTACTTCTTTTCTGTAATAGTATCATTCTTTTCTCTGACTTGCTGGTTCATCTCTGCCAATTTCTAATGAATAAACAAAAAATGTAGGGAATATTGAAGACGTGAATAACTGAAAACAATTCATGAATTATATACAAGATATCCATCAAAGATAAGGTGACATGCAACATGTTGGAAAAGCCTAATTTGAATAATTGTGCAGAAAACTACTCAAAAGAATCAAACAAACTCTATATAAAAATACACTCAAATAAACTTTCAAATAAAATGATGCTGAAAACCTACTCTAACATGGATTGTGGCAATATGTATTATTTGTATAAAACCATCTCTATTTTTGGGTTTGTCATTTCATTAATGGCAAATCTACTCAAACGACAAGCTCCAAAACTCACCAGATCAGTATTTCAGGAGTGTAACTGACTTATTGATAATCGCTGGTTAAAAGTGTAACAAAGAGACCATTGGCAAGACTTGTGTTCTCAGGCTTACCAGAGCACAGTGCTGCATCTCGTTGTCTCTCTGGTTCATCTGCTTCAGGGTGAATTCCCACTGTTGAATGAGCTGTTGTGTTTCTTGGTGAACCTGGCGCAGATTCTCAGTGGTTTTCTCTAGGGCAATCTGTGAAAAGTGACAGAAACTTAAAATGACGAGTTATGAATATTACAGTTATTTTGCTTCAACAATGAAGTGTATTTTTTTTTAAACCTGTGTAGATAGTGTCTCTGTTAACTCTTTGTCCAGAGCTTTGCGTTTTTCATTTGCCTCCACGGTCCTCTTCTCAATGGCCAGAGTAAGTGACTACAAGCAGAAACAAAAGTAATATATTGAAAGAATGATATTGATATTTTAAAAAGCTCAGAGTAACTGCATGAAGAACTGACCTTGATCCTCTGCTCATCCTGTTGAGCATACTTAATAATAACCATGCTGTCCTCATCTTTGCGCACTGACTCCTCTATAAAAGCATCCATCGTCTGCTGGTCCCAGTTCATTTGATTCTTAAAGTCTTGCAGCTTCTGTTTGATCTTGAATATCTGGTTCTGTATATTTTGGACAGTATTAACATAGTCTGTGTCTGTGATCAAAATACTTTGTTGTGTGTATTTCAGACCTCCATATTGTTGCTCCTCTCTGTCAACAATCGTAGATTACTATTCATCTTAGAGGACTCCTGGGCCAGTCGACCGGCCTCTCTCTCAGCCAGTGCTGTCAGGTGTTTTTCTGTCTCTTCTTCTCTCACCATTGCTCTGTATAAAGCCTGTGAATATAACAGACAAAAAATGATTTAGTTTCCCTGTCAAGGTGGATATGGAGTATACTGACCAGCTGCATTCTTACCTCAGTGCTTTCCAAAGTTTGTTTTAGGATTTTGAGGTCTCCTAATTTAGGCATAATTTAAATAAATAATATCCTAATTCCCTATAAAATAATCTTCTAAATTACTGTCTTTTGTCTATTAATGTCTACTAGAGAAATCAGAATAAAAGTATTAACCATAATAAAGGCTACGTAACATTATCTACAGGAGCATTTTGTTCTTACCTCTTCTATTAACGCTCTGTTTTGTGCGTTGCAGTCGGGAATTGCAAAGCGCACATCCCAGTCCATCTTTGCCAAAATGGAATTAACAAAGCTCGACATACCAATTACTGAGTGAAAAGTAAAATAAACGTAAAGCTGTAGGCCTTCCTGTAACTTGCTATGCACAATGCAGTGTGTGGACAGTGGTCTGCCGCTCCTCTGGGCGCTGTTTGTCTCTGGTCACCTTGGTAACCGAACTATACCGCGAAGGGGCAGCTCGATTTTTATCACTTTAATCTGGAGCAAAAATAATGTAGATACAGCGGTACTTATAATATCGATTTGACACTTTGCTTAAACTGTTGAAACTGAAAATATTTTTATTCTGGGTTATATAATATTATGTTTGAATACATAGACTCTTGTGGCTGTAGTGTACCAGTAGGGGGCAGTAATATGTTATAGGAAAGAAGTAAAACCTCCAGCAAAGCGATGAAAATATATGTCATTTGTTTTGTTAAAGTTGTACTAGTTCACCCTGTGGATTTTCGTCCTTTGGCTTTTATAAACAAATCCTAATTCCTAAAAATTCTGCTAAAATGACTGTCTTGCTAAAGTCTCTAGAGAAACAGAATAAAAGTGTCCAGAACCCTCCTGCGGCTCTTTAACTTTCACAGAGGAAACAACGTTCTTACCTCTTCTATTAACGCTCTGTTTTGTGCGTTGCAGTCGGGAATTGCAAAGCGCACATCCCAGTCCATCTTTGCCAAAATGGAATTAACAAAGCTCGACATACCAATTACTGAGTGAAAAGTAAAATAAACGTAAAGCTGTAGGCCTTCCTGTAACTTGCTATGCACAATGCAGTGTGTGAACAGTGGTCTGCCGCTCCTCTGGGCGCTGTTTGTCTCTGGTCACCTTGGTAACCGAACTATACCGCGAAGGGGCAGCTCGATTTTTATCACTTTAATCTGCAAAAGCAAAAAATAATGTAGATACAGCGGTACTTATAATATCGATTTGACACTTTGCTTAAACTGTTGAAACTGAAAATATTTTTATTCTGGGTTATATAATATTATGTTTGAATACATAGACTCTTGTGGCTGTAGTGTACCAGTAGGGGGCAGTAATATGTTATAGGAAAGAAGTAAAACCTCCAGCAAAGCGATGAAGAACTAATATGTCATCGGATTTGTTTTGTTAAAGTTGTACTAGTTCACCCTGGATGTTTAGAGCCGCTTTGTCTCGTTTTCAGAACAAATGGAAGTCCTATCGACACAGGTTTGTGCCTTGGGTCGCACTGAACTTGTCTAAAAATGAGAAGACTCTGCGAAAAGTGAAGGGGCGCAGCCAAGATAAGCTGGTCCCAGACGAGGACGTGTCCAGAACCCTCCTGCGGCTCTTTTGGCTCCTTCACAGAGGAAACAACGCTCAAGCAGCCTCTGTCTCGGCATCTAGTAATCATGAGGAGTTTAGGACGGGTGCAATATGTGCACACGACGCCATGCTACATTCTCTCGGGTTTTGCATTGAAAGGAAGCCAAGCACTTTGCCTTTTGCAGGAACTGGAGTATTTGTCACAAGAGGTGTTGTTCCTGAAGGAGCTACAGTTGCCATGTATCCCGGGACAGTCTATCAGGCTTATGAGCCCATTCTCCTTCAGTCCATCCGCAACCCATTTGTTTTCAGGTGCATTGATGGAGTTCTAGTGGATGGAAATGACAAGGGCATCTCCAAAATGGTGTTCAGGTCTTGCAGTGGCAGGGACAGACTGGGGCCTTTTTTGACCAGTGACACAAGTTGGTTGACAACAAATCCATTAAACCCCCTTGCTGTGGGTCAGTATGTTAACAACTGTTCCAATGATAAGTCTGCCAATGTGTGCTACCAGGAATATGATGTGCCCAATAATTTCCCCCTGGAGCTCAGACAGTATTTGCCAAATGTCAACTACAGTCAGGACGCTCACCAGAGGCTTTTACGCTGCGTAGTTTTGGTGTCACTCCGGGAAATTTCAGCTGGAGAGGAACTCTTCTCAAACTATTATACTATTATACATTAATTTGAGTGGCTACAAGTCTGAATCCACATAATTAAGTATACCTTTACCTTAAAGGAACTTTATGTAAGTTTTTGATTTAAAAGTTAAGAAACTTGTATAGCTTACTGATGACTACTGTAATTGGCCCTCGCCACTAACAAAGTTAGGGGCGAGGGGTATTGTTTTTGCTCGGTTTCTTACGCTCTATTATTATTATTTTTCCTTGCAAAGGATCTCAATTTTGAGGGCCTAAACGTCGACGAAAAGTCCCCAAACCGGGGTCCAGATCGATCGGCCCGGCGAAAAATTCGATAAAATGGGCATCGCGACAATGACCCGAGTGACCCGACTCAACAGCGCCACCTAGAATTCGACCCCTATGGGACTAGGGACAAACAAAGTTTGTCGCAGGGAAACGAAATTCGGGACAGTGATAGAGAACAATGAGACAAGCCAAAAGATGAATTGGAGCATGACCCTATGACGAACAGGAAGTCGGCCATATTGGATCAAACATTTGGCGCCGTTTTGACTTGGGTGTCTACAAAAAGATTCAAGTTCCCGGGGTTTGGTCCAAATGAGCTCAGATTTGACATGTCACATCTACAGACATAAACTCACAGAAATTTTCAACTTTTTTTGGAATACTCCTTACGGTTCGCCCGTAGCACGCCGCCGAAAAACGCCTTCATTTCCTGTTTTTTCGGTGACCTGTCACGGCCACAGGCATTGTCCTAGAGAACTCAAATTCAAATCACAATTGCGTGATCCAGGCCTGAATGTGATGAAATATGAAATGTAATAAAAGTGAACTCTATAGCGCCCCCTAGCATAGACATGAAACGTCAACATTATCGGATTTGGACCAAAGTCGGGGATTAAATTTCTATGCATGATTACAAGCAAAAAAGTTTATTACGGATATGATGCATTTTCCACCATTGGCCAGCAGGGGCGCAAAGACCCCCAAAAAATAGTTAAAAAATTATTACACCCACAGGCTTAGTCCGATCGTGCTGAAATTTGAATCACTAATGCCTGATCACGGCCTAAACATAATACACTATAAAACATATGAAAAATGAACTCTATAGCGCCCCCTAGCATAGACATGAAACGTCAACATTATCGGATTTGGACCAAATTCGGAAATTAAATTCTAATGCATGATGACAAGCAAAAAAGTCTATTTCGGACATGATGCATTTTCCACCACTGGCCAGCAGGGGCGCAAAGACTCCCCCAAAAAAATAGTTAAAAAATGATTCCACCCACAGGCTTAGTCCGATTGTGCTGAAATTTGAATCACTAATGCGTCATTGTCGACCTGGGCGAATGTCGGGAAGAGAGCGTGGCGTGCCGGGGCGGTCGCGAGTCCCCGGAGGTCGCGTGGGGTGGTGGTGCGCGCCGGGGCGAGGGCCACCATTGCCGCTCATTGTGCTCATCTTTTTTGGCAATTTGCTTTCGAAGACCACAGTTCTTTAGTTTAAGGTCATGGTTTAAGGTCAAGGGTATATTTCCTCTGTTATTTCTGGCCATTTTTGTTTTTATAATTGAGTTGTTTTGTGAGTGTTGCTGTACTTACTGTTACGCAGATAAAAAAGTGCGACCTACTCTGTGAAATCTACTCTGTAAAGTCTCCTCTGTGAAGTCTACTGTTTGAAATCTTTGTACGATTTGCTCTGTGTCAAGCTCAGCTAAATGTGCCTTTTCCGTTAAGCGATATGTGATTTTCGATTTGCGATTTGCCTACTCTTATAATCTCCCCGAGGCCAAACAAAGCTTTGAGTTAAAGCCCACAAAGCTTTGAAGTTTAGCTTTGAGTTCCGGAGTTGCCATGGTAACAAGGCTTTATGGAACTTTACATGTATGATGTCATCGGCGCCGTGAACCTGATGGAACTGGGAGGTTTTCAGGTTCTAGAATGTAATGATGTCATACTCCCAGACGGGGCAAGAGCCACGTTTCCCTGTTGACTGAGGCCGAGTGTTGTTAAGAAGTCACTGATATGAGACAAACCTCGATACAGTGCGCTTTCGATTCGATACGGTTCAGTAAAAAATAAAGGCTAAATCATGGAAAATCTTTGTTAAACCATTTCTTGTGCAAAGTTCATATGAAACACAAACATTTTAATCCTCAAAACAGCGAAAATGTCAAACGAGTTTCCTTCCACTAAACAAACAACGAAACTGTAACTGTAGCTGTAACAAAATCATTTAGTAAAATAAACCAAAAATACTCTTGGTGATATATCGATAGAGCAGCCCACAATATCGATACTGTGTCATCACATTAAACGATACGATATATCGATATTTCAATATTTTTGCACACCCCTCTACTCTTTATCACACGAAGACCACAGTTCTTTAGTTTAAGGTCATGGTTTAAGGTCAAGGGTATATTTCCTCTGTTATTTCTGGCCATTTTTGTTTATTAATTGAGTTGTTTTGTAAGTGTTGCTGTACTTACTGTTACGCAGATAAAAAGTGCGACCTACTCTGTGAAATCTACTCTGTAAAGTCTCCTCTGTGAAGTCTACTGTTTGAAATCTTTGTACGATTTGCTCTGTGTCAAGCTCAGCTAAATGTGCCTTTTCCGTTAAACGATATGTGATTTTCGATTTGCGATTTGCCTACTCTTATAATCTCCCCGAGGCCAAACAAAGCTTTGAGTTAAAGCCCACAAAGCTTTGAAGTTTAGCTTTGAGTTCCGGAGTTGCCATGGTAACAAGGCTTTATGGAACTTTACATGTATGATGTCATCGGCGCCGTGAACCTGATGGAACTGGGAGGTTTTCAGGTTCTAGAATGTAATGATGTCATACTCCCAGACGGGGCAAGAGCCACGTTTCCCTGTTGACTGAGGCCGAGTGTTGTTGTTAAGAAGTCACTGATATGAGACAAACCTCGATACAGTGCGCTTTCGATTCGATACGGTTCAGTAAAAAATAAAGGCTAAATCATGGAAAATCTTTGTTAAACCACTTCTTGTGCAAAGTTCATATGAAACACAAACATTTTAATCCTCAAAACAGCGAAAATGTCAAACGAGTTTCCTTCCACTAAACAAACAACGAAACTAGCTGTAACAAAATCATTTAGTAAAATAAACCAAAAATACTCTTGGTGATATATCGATAGAGCAGCCCACAATATCGATACTGTGTCATCACATTAAACGATACGATATATCGATATTTCAATATTTTTGCACACCCCTCTACTCTTTATCACACGAAGACCACAGTTCTATGGTTTAAGGTCAAGGGTATATTTCCTCTGTTATTTCTGGCCATTTTTGTTTTATAATTGAGTTGTTTTGTAAGTGTTGCTGTACTTACTGTTACGCAGATAAAAAGTGCGACCTACTCTGTGAAATCTACTCTGTAAAGTCTCCTCTGTGAAGTCTACTGTTTGAAATCTTTGTACGATTTGCTCTGTGTCAAGCTCAGCTAAATGTGCCTTTTCCGTTAAACGATATGTGATTTTCGATTTGCGATTTGCCTACTCTTATAATCTCCCCGAGGCCAAACAAAGCTTTGAGTTAAAGCCCACAAAGCTTTGAAGTTTAGCTTTGAGTTCCGGAGTTGCCATGGTAACAAGGCTTTATGGAACTTTACATGTATGATGTCATCGGCGCCGTGAACCTGATGGAACTGGGAGGTTTTCAGGTTCTAGAATGTGATGATGTCATACTCCCAGACGGGGCAAGAGCCACGTTTCCCTGTTGACTGAGGCCGAGTGTTGTTAAGAAGTCACTGATATGAGACAAACCTCGATACAGTGCGCTTTCGATTCGATACGGTTCAGTAAAAAATAAAGGCTAAATCATGGAAAATCTTTGTTAAACCACTTCTTGTGCAAAGTTCATATGAAACACAAACATTTTAATCCTCAAAACAGCGAAAATGTCAAACGAGTTTCCTTCCATTAAACAAACAACGAAACTGTAGCTGTAACAAAATCATTTAGTAAAATAAACCAAAAATACTCTTGGTGATATATATCGATAGAGCAGCCCACAATATCGATACTGTGTCATCACATTAAACGATACGATATATCGATATTTCAGTATTTTTGCACACCCCTCTACTCTTTATCACACTGTACTTTGCCACGAAATATCCAAAAGGTAAACGCACAAATGTTAAACCTGGTATTGAAATGATTAAAAAACTCACTGTTAGAACACAATGGCCATGTTCACATGATGTTTTTTAATTGTTCTGGATTAAATTGTTTGGACTTAAAATATTTTCCTTGGAGTTTACATGGAAATAATAATTCTGAATATCTGGGTTTCACGTGACATTACAGGGCGACACGCAAAATCAGATGGAGGGCAAGAAGTGAACCGACTGAAGGGAAATGCCGATGTGTTGTGCAGTTTACGGCTGTGCCAATTGTTCTAACCGAGAGAAGGAAAAGCGATTTTTTTAGAGTACCGAAGATAGTCGTCCACAAAGGTCAGAAATGGGAAAAGCTGACAGAACAACGCCATAAAAAGTGGATTACAAACTAGAGCCCGGCCGATATGGATTTTGCTGTGGCCGATATGAAACCGATATAATGGGAGTTGGCGCTGCCGATAGCCGATGCATTTTCCACTATTGGCCAGCAGGGGCGTAAAGACTCCCCCCAAAAATAGTTAAAAAATGATTACATGCCCATGTTTAATCGGATCGTGCTGAAATTTGAATCACTAATGTGTGATCTCAGCCTGAATATAAAACAGTATAAAACATATTAAAAGTGAACACTATAGCGCCCCCTAGCATAGACGTGAAACGTCAACATTATCGGATTAGTACCAAATTCGGGGCATAAATTCTATGTATGATTACAAGCAAAAAAGTTTATTACGGACATGATGCATTTTCCACTATTGGCCAGCAGGGGCGCAAAGACTCCCCCAAAAAATAGTAAAAAAATAATTACACACACAGGCTTAGTCCGATCGTGCTGAAATTTGAATCACTAATGCCTGATCATGGCCTGAATACAATACACTATAAAACATATGAAAAATGAACTCTATAGCGCCCCCTACCATAGACATGAAATTTCAACATTATCGGATTTGTACCAAATTTGGGGATTAATTTCTATGTATGAATGCAAGCAAAAAAGTCTATTACGGAGATGATGCATTTTTCACGGTTTGCCAGTAGGGGCGCAAAGAATCCCCCCAAAAATATTTTTAAAATTATTACAGGGACATGCTTAGTTCGATTGTGCTGAAATTTGAATGCGGGATATTGGTCTGAATATAATAAACTATAAAACATATGAAAAGTGAACAGTATAGCGCCCCCTACCTTAGACATGAAATGTCAACATTATCGGACTTGGACCAAAGTCGGGGGTTAAATTCTATGCATGATTATAAGCAAAAATGTCTATTACAGTCATGGTGTATTTTTCACGGTTGGCCAGCAGGGGCACAGAGAATCCTCCAAAAAATATTGTAAAAATTATTATATGCACATGTTTTGTCCGATTGTGATGACATTTCTATCACTTATACACTGCATGACCCTTATTCCATTGATATGTCAAATACAGTTATCAGGGATACAGCGCCACCTATATGAATGCACACAATTTATTATTGTGTGACATAAAATTTGTTTTACATTCATTTGTAAAACTTTGCCAAAACATTCACTGACGTACTCCTCATCATAAAAGTCAGTAAGACCTATGCCCTAGTTTTACACTTTTGCCTCTAGAATAATTTCACTTCTGAGAAATTTAAAGGCACACTATGTAACTTTTCTGGTGGAGGATGTGTTTTCATGCACTTAGTCTTAGTGTGACAGTGCTCTTGACCATTAAAGTCACGTGACCTGTGGCTTAGTGTCTACAGTTTGTCTCTAGAATCATTCACTTTATCCAATTTTAAAGGTACACTATGTAATTTTTCTGGTGGACGAGCTGTTGGCCTCGGGAGCTGTCGGGAAGAGAGAGCGGTGTGTCGGGGCGGTCGCGAGTCCCCGGCATTCGCCAGGGGGGGCGGTGCGCGCCCGGGGCGAGGGCCACCATCGCCGCGCGCGGCTTTAATTCTGATTTATTCTTGGTTACAAAAACATTTGACATGGTAGCCCATGTATTTGTGTTTTCATTCTTAAAATGATTATCCCATCAGAAATCAGAATGAGCCCACACAAGTCTCTCATTTGGGTTGCCAGTTTCAAACAGAAATCCAGCTAAAAGGACTCTCTGATTTGAATCCTCACTACATAAATCCCAGCACCCGCAGCCAATCATAAATCAGTGCTAGTGCACCCTCTGCAGCTCAGAATGAACTCTGTAGGTTTTGAGTTCTACTTCTTACATGGGGCATTACCTTTGCCTATATATATTAAGACTGGAGCACAGGATACATACAGTACCTTTACACTAAGCTGTTCGTTCATATATTGAAAAGCACAGTATGTAATTTGTTTCCAAAAAAAGAAAAAAAAAAAAGTTTCACGTTTTTCTTGCATTTCCACAAAGCTGACCTGGAGAGGGCCTCCTTTGGCTGTCTTCCACACTATAGCATAAAACATAACTATCAAATAGAAAGTTCCAAAGTATAACTAATTTCCATGGAATCATGCAGGTGATGTGCCATAATGTAGATGTAAGTATGCTGTCATTTATTTTCTGTTGAGAAAAGTCTGCCAGTATGTCACTTCTGTGAATGTGGATTTTTTAAATGTTTTTTATCTTGGTAAAATGTTTACCTTGCTCTTTTTTAGCTTCACAAAAAAATAAATAAATATATATATATATATCTTCTCATCTTTATTCTTAGCATATTTGTAAAATATTCGTGTTTCATTGTACTGAATAATAAAACTGAATGCTTTATTCTATATACAACACAATAAAATATGAAATGATCACAGTTCAGTGTAATTCACAGTTGTAACGCTGTTTGTTTGCTGTAAGTGTAATTAATTTTCTAGTAATTGCCATAAACTAAATTTGAAATTTTATATGTATTTATATATTTCAGATTTATAGTAGACGGAAAATATTCATATTATAGTTGGTCTGGCGTTGCGCAACGTCGCCATGAAATTTGTCTACTCCGAGACACTATATCACCCCAACTACAAACTATCACTGCAATATTCTTCCGCCGTTAAAAATAGTCCACCTAAAACGTATTTTTTCTGTACAAAACAAATTTATTTTATGCACTCAGTACACCTAGCCACACAAGAGTAATCTAATCGTAGGTTAGATCAGATTTGTAGGTTTGTCGAATGAAATTGGGTGGTAAATTCGGGGGTGAAAATAGTCCGGCTGCATAAAGGCAGTAGCCTTCGCCATCAGCGATCTTTCCAGTCGCATGCTGAAGTTGCGTTCGGATCATGTCTAGCGATTCTGCTGATTACAACAGGTAAATCAGTTATGGTTTGCTGTATGAGTCGACTAACTGATTTATTTCTTAATATAATGAATCTTTAGCGTTATGTGGGGAAGAGATTGTTGAAATTTACAGAGTTTCTTTCAAGCTAAGTTGGGCCTCAGCCTGCACCAGGGCGACTGGCCAGAAGCATGTTCTATTTCCATGGCTACTCAGATTAATTTAAATTATTGCCGTTACATAAACAACTGGTACTTGAACAATAAGCCGGTTTGTTTGGGCATTTTGATTAAGTTTCTGCAAAGATAATATATTGTTAAAGGTAAACGCTGCTAGCCCGGCCTACCACTCTGGCTTCTCTGCCATCATTGGCATCCTAGGCCTAATTGTCCGACATATTGGCTACGGCTGTGCGAGTCTCCATATTAACATTGAGACAAGAGACATCATCCAGTGTGGCTTTTTTGCAGCGTTGCAGTGGAATTAAAATGGACCCCGTGAATTGAGCTGCAGCAGTGGGTTTATTCTAGGGTTACATAACGGTCTTTTTCGGGGGTCCCGATAGTGGGAATTTGACACGTGCTAAAGCTCGGGCTGTAACGGGATCTTCTTGGGCGTAACCTGGGCCTACAAAGTACACCACCAGGTGCCATTAACCGTGCTGGGCCACCTACAACATGACCACTATGGCCGTAGCCAGAGCTGCAGGTCTGCTCTGCGTTCCCGCTCTCTTCTACCATTGTGTGGCAGTAGTGGTCTTGGTGGCCCGTTTCTACCGGAAGAGGAGTTCTTCACTGGTTGGGGTGCTGTTACTTGAGCAGTAGCATTTCCTTCCCGATGCCACACGTGGTGGAAGTGTGCGAGTGAATGTTTCGTCCGAAGGATCCAGTGTAATTGCATTGGTTTAAGCCGTGCATTTTTGCGTGTGTTTAGCTCAAGAGACCGAGACCATGGAGGGCCCGACGGAATGGAGCCTGATGGTGTCATTGAGGTAAAACGATTTCTTACAATTTTGTAGCTCCCGAAACTAAGCGTCCAGAGGCTCATTTGTTGTTGTTGGTAATAATTCCAGAGCAATTGGAATGACATTACAGACAACTTTGACGATATGGTCCTGAAAGAGACTCTTCTCAGGGGAATATATGCATATGGTTTTGAGAAGCCATCTGCAATTCAACAGAGGGCAATCATCCCTTGCATTAAAGGTTAGTAATATTAAAAAGAAATATGAGTAGTCTTAAATGAGTGACATGATGTGTAACCATCTTTCGGGACTTACCCAATAATGGTGATTTTTACTATTCACTGATCATTTTTTAACCAGTTGAGAGTTAGTATTTGTCTGTTAGTTGGACTGTTTTGTAATTTAAAATTTGAATTGACCTTTTCTCATCTTTCACTAGGCTATGATGTCATTGCTCAGGCCCAGTCAGGTACTGGCAAAACAGCCACGTTTGCCATCTCTATCCTGCAGCAGCTGGACATTGAGCAGAAAGACACACAAGCCCTGGTGCTGGCTCCCACCAGAGAGCTGGCTCAGCAGGTATGTAGTTGTCAGGTTGTTTTACTCAGGTAATCAGTTTGTCGTCATGACATGTGTGGAATCTATTGCTTGTGCTCTATGCGATTGTTAAACAAATTTAAATGGTGAAATGATGGCATACCATCTTTCGGGACTGACACTATAAATGGAGAGTTCCTTCAGTATACTGATCACCTTATGTACAATATGTAATGACTGCCTTTCATACAAAATGAGATTATTTGATCTTAGTTTTTATTCTCTTTTAGATCCAGAAGGTGATCCTTGCTTTGGGTGATTATATGGGTGCAACCTGCCATGCCTGCATTGGTGGAACCAACCTCCGAAGTGAGATTCAGAAGTTCCAGGCTGAGGCCCCTCATATTGTCGTGGGCACTCCTGGACGTGTGTATGACATGCTCAACAGGAGACATCTGAGTAAGTGACAATTTATGGAATGAAAGACTTGCTTTGACATGTCGCTAAGTTTTATGTTATTCGTAGTCCCCAAGTATATCAAGATGTTTGTCCTGGATGAAGCTGATGAGATGTTGAGTCGTGGATTCAAGGATCAAATCTATGAAATCTTCCAAAAGCTGAGCACCAACATTCAGGTGAGTGTGAAAATCTGAACACTCCACTTCTGCTTTTAAGAGATCTGCTAGAACTGTTTCCCTCAGATAAGTCTGTGATGCAGTAATGCTAGTAGAGCCATGTGCAGAAGGAGACTAAAGAGCACTGAACTGAAAAGGAGCTTTGGCCGAACCTCTTTCTTAATGTTCAATGGTCCCTGGCTCAAGGCTCGGTGCCACATGATGCATGTTTCTGAGCTGATTTGAGCCGCCTTAGACCAATCTTCTGTTGTACACAGGTGGTTCTACTCTCTGCAACAATGCCTGCAGATGTGTTGGAGGTGACAAAGAAATTTATGAGGGATCCCATTCGTATTTTGGTCAAGAAAGAGGAACTTACCCTGGAGGGTATTAAGCAGTTCTACATTAATGTAGAGCGAGAGGTAAGAACACATTTAAGTTGAGTGGCACTTCTCTTCAAGCACCCTGCTGAAACTGCAGGAGCCAGGCCTCTGAGGCTTGGTTCATGTAGCCGTGTAAGCATGGGTACACCGGGGAAGGAAAGCAAAACACAGTATCTTAAATGAGGCTAGGAGGGACCTCTTTCTTAATGTCCAGTGTCCTAGGTCTTGAGGTTCTGTGTTACAACTTTATGTGCAGCATTCAATGTTTAGTTTGAATTTACTACGTTTTTCCTCTTTTGAAGGAGTGGAAGTTGGACACCCTGTGTGATCTTTATGAGACGCTGACCATTACCCAGGCTGTCATCTTCCTCAACACCAGAAGAAAAGTTGACTGGTTGACAGAGAAAATGCATGCACGTGATTTCACAGTATCCGCTCTGGTATGTCACGCCTTACTTTGTGTAACAATGGTCCCAGTAGTGAGGGGAGATGTATCAAAAAATGATATTGCAATTGTTTTATAATTTAAAATTTTAACTTTGAGATCTGTCTGCAATACAGCCATTTGATAAAGGCTGCAAATTGAGATGATTTTGATAAGTTGTCATGTGAATGTTGTTTCTGGAATGTTCCACAGACTACCTATTTTATTGCCAAAAATACTTGTTTTGGTTGAGTTATCTAATGTGTTATGCCATTTTTGTGGAATATTCTAGACAAAACGACATCTTGAAGGAAAATAGAAGGTCTCGGACCCTTCTCCTAAAAAGTACAGTGCCCCTTTTCAATATAAGAATTAAACATGCTGGCTAATCTTTCAGACAAGTGGTTTGTCATCTCTGACCAAGTGGTTTGATTTTTACAGGGCATTCATATTTTGTGCAATGCTTGACAAATTTTGGCAATGGATTGCAGTAATATTACAATTGCAATAATCCAAAAGTGATCCTAGATTTAATTTTTTGTCAATTTCTTTCCCTAGCATGGAGATATGGACCAGAAGGAGCGCGATGTCATTATGAGGGAGTTCAGGTCTGGATCGAGCAGAGTGTTGATCACGACTGATCTTCTGGTAAGTGCTAAATGAGTCAATTTTCCACCCCAAAATGTTTATGTTCTGTGACAGTCTTGAAATGACCAAGCAGTTACAACTTTTGGGAGATTAGTGCCCATTCTCCACAATGGCTTCCTTACCTGTAGGATTCTGTTACTTAAACATGGGCAACATTATGGTAATATGCCATTTTTCCTGGGTTAACCAAGTATAATACATTTTTTTTTTTTTTTTTTCTCCTCCCCCCAGGCTCGAGGCATTGATGTTCAGCAAGTTTCCCTGGTCATAAACTATGACCTTCCAACTAACAGAGAGAACTACATTCATAGGTAATACTCTACTGAAAATGAGATTCTCTGCCTTACCAGGCTGTTGTCTAACTGTTTCGTTGCTCTCAAAAGAATTGGCCGTGGTGGCCGTTTTGGCAGAAAAGGAGTTGCTATCAACTTTGTCACTGAGGAGGACAAAAGGATTCTTCGGGACATCGAGACGTTTTACAATACGACTGTGGAGGAGATGCCTATGAATGTGGCAGATCTGATTTGAGCTCAAAGATTCGTTTTTATTAAACGCAGTGATAGCGATTGTCCACTTGCATTGTGCTTATAATATTCGAGGGGGAAAACTTCTCAATGCTAAACTTTGGATCTGAATTTTGGTATGTGTTAAAGCGAGGTGACCTCTATGGTGGTCCCTCCTGGACAGTTGTAGATTCTAACCTCAACACTTGGCTGGTTGGAGCTACAAAGCCATGGGGTCTGTAAACTTAAAGGTCCTTATCAGGTATTATTTTCCATGTTCAATTAAAATGCGTGTATTCGATGTTCTCCACCATTTAGTAACTTACTTGTGGACTAAAAGGTATAAGTGCTGTATAAAGTCTGCAAATTATGTTATGCTAACATATGTGCGATTTATATATCGTGGGCCTGCTTAAACTTAGGCACTTGTCATGTTATAATGTAGATTCACTTGCTTTTGTTATATTTTGTGAATGTTTTAATTTAATGTTCCATATTTTTATCCCACCTGCTTTACCAGACTTCTCACTGGTTGAACCTGTTTTGCTGATGTGGTTTTACCCTTCCCAGAGAATATCTCCATTCTTTTCAAGAGTTCCTCCTCCAGAATTGTATGAATGTCTTAATAAATTAAATGGCTGTAAAATTGGATGTGAAAAGCCTACATTTTTATAGCCATGTATGCAAAGAGAAATATTACATTTTTTTTACACGTTTGCGTTTTCAGCTGTGTTGGACTCGTTAACTTTGGAAAAAGTAATATCGTTAATAGTTACATCTCCCAAAAATAACTTGACTATACTATTGCGTTCTCAACGGTAGCATAACAAAGAATAAATAGCAAACATGTGGCTGTACCAGCTTGTCAAAGGCTCATCCTGTTAGATCTCAGAAGCCATGCAAGGCTAGACCTGGATAGTACTTGGGTGGGAGACCACTGGGAAAATCGGGTGGTGCCTGTTGTGTCCTTTAAGACACTTCACCCACATTGCCTAGTATGAAAGTGGTGTGAGTGTTGGTGGTGGTTGGAGGGGCCGATGATGCAGATTGGCAGCCTCACTTCTGTCAGTCTGTCCCAGGGCAGCTGTGACTACAATAGTAGCTTACCATCACCAAGTGTGGAGGGAATGAATAAAGCGCTTTGGGTATCTTGAAAGGTGCTATATAAATGCAACAATTAATTTATATATATATATATATATATATATATGCAAAGCCTCTATTTCCCTCTAGTGGCCACGGTGTTAAGTTGAATTGAACAAACAGACGCGCATAGGTGAGACTGCGTCAATCTCAAAGCCAGAACAGAGTTTGTTGTCTCTTTAAAACGCATCAGATTTTCAATGTAGGTAATAAGCTTAAAGTTTCAGCTCACAAAATAATTAACTTACAGCTCACAAAATAATTAACTTACTGCCCTGTATACTATCCTGTTCAAGTTATTGATCACTAAATAGGCCTACAGACTTTATCGTTTTGAAAACTGTAGGGTGCCCAGACGTCCTCTTTTTCCGGACATGTCCTCCTTTTAATGAAAGAAATAATGCAATTCTTCATGTGTCAAACTCTACACCACTTTTTATTTGATGAAAATTGACCTCATATTAGCTGCGATAAATTCATAAATCCTAGCTGAAAAAGTTTGTAGCGTCGCCAACTCGTACGTAACCGCGGCGTGCGCACGCTGTATGGGCATAGTTTGACCCTTAGCAGCAGCAGCTCATGATAAATACAGGAGAAACTAGAAAAGCACTCAGAGAGCGCAGACCTCCGCCAAGGACTACCCCCATTTTTTATATAAATTGCGATAAAATCAGTCTTCTGGATCAGATCCGGATCAGCCTTTGGAATATGAAAGAGGATCCCATTGTCCATCCCTGAGTCAAATTTCATGGGGTTTGGTCAATAATTAACCGAGATATTGAGAAACAAAATTTTTGGCCCCATTTACCACAATGTTAACTAAAATTTCAAAGTGATCCAGAATCCAGGATTTCTTCCGGATCACCCCCAAAATGAAATCAGTTCTTCCTTTTCACATTTCCAATAAATCCTGAAAATTTCATCAAAATCGGTCCATAACTTTTTTACTTATGTTGCTAACAGACAAACAAACAAACAAACAAACAGACAAACAGACAGACAGACAGACAGACAGACAGACAGACAGACAGAGAAACGCCGGCAAAAACATAACCTCCTTGGCGGAGGTAATAAAACATTTGTTCAGACGTCCTGATAAAGGCTAAAGATCTGTGGTGTTTGTTCTGCTCTGAGCCACACACTAAAGCCTCTTGTATGTGAGAGGTGACAGGAGCAGGGCCCTGACAGAGCAGGGACAGGACATAGACACTGTCAGGAAAATAACCCACAAAAAATAAATTGGCTTATATTATTGAGCTATGACTTAGTAGATCTCTAAAATGCAATGAAATGCAGTAAATTGTCCAAAAATCCCATTGGAGGACCTCAGAGCCCCGATACACATAATATCATACATTTGTACATTACAAGCCTCGTCAATTTTTTCACCCCCGAACCAGCTGTCCTCCTTTTTGATATGCCCAATCTGGTCACCCTAAACAGATGCCAATTGAATCTTAATGAAATACATGTTTTTAATTGTAATTTATTTATTTATTAATTTATTTTATTTTTGCCATTTAAATTATACAGATCTACTCTATTGTCCTGGCCTGAACTGGACAGTAAGGGGCAGATGTGGGCAGCTGTTCCCAGTATTGCTTAACTCATCACCATGGAAACGGGACAGCTGTTTGGAAGGACAGCTAATCCACTCCAATGAATTTAAGATGAGCTGACAAAAATAGCCTGGTTGGTCTGCATATTATTTATGAGCCTATTAATAACAAACAAAATGGCCTTGTAAGGATGGCCATGAATATATAAGTTGCAGATATAGACTATTTTTACAGGCTATATAATTTGGTTAAAGAGACGTTTTATCCTCAGTGCAGTAGACTACTCCATTAAACAGTTCAGTTATTTTACAATACACAGTACAGAGTTAGCCTACAGAGGACATGGCTGGTTATCACAAACTTGGACTACAATGGCTAAAACTTGATTAATTTTCATGTCTTAAAATATTTTTGGAGAAAACTGGTTAACATCAAAAAGTACACTTTCAGATTTTTATGAAAAATGTTTGAATATTCCAAAAAGTAGCCCCATATTTAAAGCTTCTACCATTATAAAAGAGAAAGTTGAGGCCATTTCTGGGGCATGTTTTTTTTTTTTTTTATGGTTATGAAATTTATAAGTTTTAGGTGCAATCCAAAAAGTCCAGTTGAGGTAAGGTAAGTTGTCACAATCTGAGGTTTGTAGCAACCACTAACGTAATAACGGCCAATAATGTAATAATGCTGGCCAAATTTAAATGTTTGTAAAGTTTAAATATAGGCTATAATAAGCATAGTCTAATAACCATCCAATAATGGTGGTACATGGACAGCTGTTCAGTTTGTGGATTTTATAAAAATTTTTGTCAGAAATTATGTGTTCCACTTTTAGAGGTGGTTTAGCTTCGGCCTAGAATAGTCCTATTTTTAGATTACTTTGATAATGATTTGTTTTTGTGTACTGTTGCGAGGTTTCAGATGATATCACAATATCCTATAGGCCAATATAGGCCTTAATACAGATGGGGGCAGCTAAAATTTATGTTGTTAAAATGCAGACTTTTTGTTGTAATACAGCGAGTTCTTGGGTCACTAATATAAATGATCAGGTTCAACATTTGTGAATTTACCTTTGAAATATTTCAACAGAAACTACAATGTAATTAACAGGAAAATATGTCTCTTGCCCTCATCACGGAGTATGACATCATTACATCAATATCAGTGCCGTAGTTAAGTTTAGTGTGCATGTGTCACCTGACATGCACTGTATTTGCATGTAGTCCTGTTGGATCTTTTAAACACAGATTTAAAAAACAAACAAACAAACAAACAAACAAACAAAAAACGTCTTAAATGTTCCACTTCAACGCAAATAATAAGCTTAAAGTCTCAGTTAACAGTTAAGACTATTTTGTTATTGATTACTAAATACAGATTGTATTGTTTTACAAATGTAAATGTATGCTTTTTAAAATTCTAATTAGTTTTTCTTAACATTTAAATTCCCCTGCTTTTCTTTTATATGATTATTTTTATGTACTGTTCGTCTCCCCAGTGTATTGTAAAAGCAAAAATAAATAAATAAATCAAATAACTACACAATAGATATAAAATGTTTCATGCACATTTTTATGAAGGAGTCGTGTACTTTGTGTAGTTATTGTACATGTATGTTACTTTTTTTTTTTCTGCTTTGAGATGCAAGCTGATTTGCTGTGTAAGGGTGATCCACTCTTCTTCACTTAGATTTAAATACATACTAACTCCTCTCCTGATTTGAAAGTTTTAAATAAACAGGACCGTGTGGTGAAGTTGAATCATTTCTCTAAGCCTGTGGTGAAATTTTGCAGTTAGGGCAGTTTTTTTTTTTTCTTTCCAAAAACAGTTTACCTCCCACATTGGTTCTCACATTTAGTTGCTCTAGATTGACATTTGAGGCTTCTCACTGGTTTATGTGGTTGGAAAAAGTGGTGTTGCACACAGAACAGCCGTTTTGCCTCAGTAATGAACAATGATTTCAGATGCTTACCTGTAACTTCAATAAATGCCATATATACATATATATATATATATATATATATATATATATATATATATATATATATACATATATATATATATATATATACATACACACACACACACACATATATATACATATATATATACATATATATCACACACATATATATACATATACACACATATATACAAACCTACAGCTATCCACAATAATCTAACAAATCTAAGTGAACAGATGAATGATTTTCCTCTGTAAGGTCTTCTTAACTGGACAGTGCATTAAGACTACAGGGAATAAGGGCTAGCATTTTCACTTAGGGCACTGGCAGACTGTGTCCTGTGTGGTCTGAATACGGCCTGCTGACTTCATTGACACCTCACGATACCTTCCCCCGGACAGTTTTCAGCTGCTCAATAATTGCCTACATTATGGTATACACGTGGGTTTTATTTTAATGTTTCCTGTCAGTGTTTCACATTCTCTATATATTCTTTTTGTTGACTGAGTTTATGTGTTTGTGTGCAAGACAAATTCCCATCAATACAAATGTGTCTAAACTTCATTCTGGTCAGTTAGTCTGTTGCTTTTATGAACTTAATGATGACACACAGACTGTTACTAGCAGCAGGATATTGCAGCACTTTTGGTGTAACAGCTGAGTTGAGAAAATTTTAAACTCCAGATGTTGGGAAAGTTTGGCATTGGCATCACAATATCCAAATACACATATTCCAATGAGCTCAATGAAGCTCAACATTTATTAAGTAAAAAATTATATTTACAAATGCAATAGACAACAACAATCCCACATAAAAAAAAAAAAAAAAATTACTTTCATTTTTTCTGAAAAAAATATTATCTTAACAATTGTGCATTGTGACATTTGAAACCCAAGTTTTTAGGTCAGACAAAGTTATGATTCTCATATAACAGAGATATAAAGAACTGTTTCTATATCTTTGAGTCACATAAACACATTATCTAATACAGCAATTTGTTACATTTGAAAAATCCTACTTTTACAAAAATGCTCTGTTGTTACATTTCTTGGCACATTAGTGCCTTTATTCAAACGTGTTGCTTGAGAGTGATTTGGGTAACACTTGCTGTCATAAAGTGAAGAATGAAGTCACTTTTGTGTTACTTTCAAGTCCACCTCAGTCTAACAGAACATTTGCACATTTGCAGTTGCAAATGATATTACTAAACTAAAATCCCCATTTGTTGCATCATTTACAGGAGGTCGGGGGTGGGGTTAGGGTTAGGGTTAGGGTTAGAGGGTTAGGGGGCACACTTTAGCGTGTGACTGACAGCAGCAACATCAGTACATCCATGTTGACACAGAGTTATATACACAGACATTAAGACTATGAAAAAGCTGCTTTGCATGGGTAGGTGTTTACATAGTAAGGTTTACAGAGCAGAGTCACTTTGACAATAGTGCAGTAAAGTCTTCCTATCAGCCCTAGGGCTTCCTCTTTTACCTGAGGGTGTGCAGCAGTTTTCCAAAGCTCATAGATATCCTCCACATGTCCGTGTGAGGTAAGCATTTGGCTGTAGATACAGGAGTGGTAGGGAGCCTTAGCCTCGCCTGAGAAAAACACATGTTCTTGAGGAGACACACCAACAGCATTGGCACAGATGCCCATGAACACATCATCAATATAAAGGGATGCATTCAAAGTTAGGGTGGCATGATAGATTTTGTCAGCCACATCACTTGAAACTACATAACCTGCTCCAGCTGTGTAGTCAGGGTAAGACAGCCACGGGTACATGTCATAGGGCACATAGTATTTGCTGCTTCGGCTTCGTACTGGTGGTGATCCCCTGTGCACTCTCCCCACCCAGAGGTCAGTAAGCCCCCTCCTGCTCATGTCCTGAAGGTACTGCACCAGGTTGGGCATGTGCACAAAAATATCATCATCGGCAGTCATGAGGAAGCGAGCGTGAGCGCAGTGATGGTGCATCCAGTGGAACTGCATGAGCAGCTTCAGGGTCAGGTTGTGGAAGGAATCAATGAAGCCCTGCTGGATGAGATCATTGTGCATTTTGTCTTCAAACTCCAACAGTTCCTGAGGGCCGAAGGGGTCTATGTCCAGGCTGTTGTCTGAGGCCTCCCGGGCTCCTAACACAAACAGCACTTTCACTGTGACACCAAGAGACTGCTGGATGTAGGTTTGATTGCCCCATGTGGATCTGATGGCCTGTCTCCTCTGAATGTTCTCTGGTGATGTTTTGACAAAGAGGAGCAGGAGGACATCTTGGTCCTTGCACTTTTCTGGATGGTCCAGAAGGTATGGAAAGTTACTGAATATCAGCGCCTGCTCTCTCGGAATGGTGAGGCTTTTGTTAACCAGAGTGAAGCGGTTGATGAAGTAGCGAAAAGACACTGACTTGACGTGGCTGACGAACAGTGTTATCGAGCTGCTCCCAGCAAACCATGACCAGGGACAGCACCAAGCAAGTAACCATGAGCTGCACACACTGGCATCTCCTCAACCTACGGAAAGTGATGAACATGCTGACAGTGGGGGACTCCGTCACTGTGAGGGCATTCAGGCAGAAGTATCAGAGCAGGCACACGACATGAAAGAGGCTGCAGGGTCTGTGCCTGAGGCTGGGTGGGTCCATTCGCACAGAGGTGGGGTCACTACTGGAACAGGGCCCCCATCACGGTCACATCCAACATGGACACGTGCCATCGTCCAAAACCATCAGGGGACTAATAAACCAAAAAAAAAAAAAAAAGGTAATATTTAAAAATACCAACTTTAATAATAAGGCATACCTGGATATTATTTGTAAATGTTTGTTAACCATTAATTAATAATTTACTAAAAATCCGGATAAGCGGATGAAAATGGATGGATGGATGGATAGTTAATATGAATAGTTAATGAATAGTTAATGATTACTAAACATTTGCAAATTGTTATTAGATGTTCCTATCTTAACATTTATGAATGTTTTATTAATTAGTAATAACACCTTTTGTCTTTGTTAATAAGTAGGCCATTAAAAAAATAATGAAATGATTAGTTAATGTTTAATAAACATTTAAAAATAATTTGTAGGTATTCCTTTTTACAAATTCTAACAATTTGTTTATTTTCTTTGTATTGCCTCTGCAAACAAGTAGCACATATATGTTAGTGATGTTAAACCACTGACAAATGTTATTTATTGCATTTAAATATATCCTTTTTTATGAATATGTGACATCTTTATTCACCATTTATTTTTTAGTATGCATCAAAATGTGAGAGGAAGAATGTGTGGTACACTAAACTGCAAATTTGGCCATAGAATCACTTGCATTTGCACACACACAAAAGACAAATATGCTGTATGTCCTGACATATAATAAACTCAAACTATTATTTTTTTCTGTGACATGGAGGAAGCCGAAATTTGAGTAATTGGGGCTTGTTAACAGGACTGAATGCAAAAGCCAGCACAGCAAATGTGGCCTGCATGGTCCATAATGGAGGGGTTTAAGTGACAGACCCCTAAAAACCGCTGAGAGGCGTAGAAAGCCTGGGGGCACAATGGCCCACATCAGATCAGTGAGGTAAAAGAATGCAGCATGAGAATAGTGTGCTTCCGCCCGGGCCTGAATTCACCATGAGGGGATCAGAATGGGCCCACAGCTTGGGATGCCCCACTGCAGTCTGGGAGCTTTTTCCACAGCTTCTAGGGTGGACTGTGCCTAATGAGATCAATGACTGCTTATTTTCTCCTTCTGATTCACACCAGCCTCCTTCATGACACCCACCCTGACACACGTCATGTGTAAAACTTTACACAAGATGATCAGCTGAAGCACATTTGGTAACTATCATACACAGGGGACTATGACACTAGCAGCTGAAACATCTTGATTTCAAATTAAACCTTTTCTACCAGCAGACCATGACAGACAAACTATGTAATCATCATGTAATACCCTACCAACCCTCCTGTGGGACTGCTTGGTCATGTCTGAGTAGATGCACACAAATTGATTCTTGCCTCACGCTGCAACACATGATTTAAGTGTATAGTGTTGAAGCTGTCATGTGGGAACACATGATGGTGCTGGGAAACTAGACAAAACCAAGGTGCATATTTGATGAATCTGTCCAGGTTACACACAAATAAGTGGACAGTCATTTGGGTAATAATACAAATTAGAAAAAAAAAGTGTAGAGAGGATGCACTCTGCAGGTGTCAGTCTTCCATCAACTGTTAAACATGGCTTGTACTATTTGCTATACCAGATTCTATAATGATCATCATGAGTCTATCCCCAGCGCTACACCATATCTCTGTGTTGAACCTTTCCTTGTCCTCTGACCCCCTCCCTCAGGCATACTTCGAAAGTCACGCTTTGTATAAATAGATTTGTAACACAAACAGGGGGAGTGGTAATGGACACACCGTAAAACACTTACCATTAAAAAGCAGATCCTGAACCACACCAGCTCTCCTTGCCCTCAGCGCTCTCAGCTCTTCTGCCCAGTGATCACTTGTGTGGCGCTCTGATAGAGCGGCTCTTAAAGTTGGTAGTAAATGTGCTGGTCGCCTTGATGCCTCTGTCCCCTCCCTCAGGGTGAATGGGGCTGGCCTACCACTACAGCTGAAGTCTATACAAGAGTCAGTCAAAGCAGGAAGCCTGCCCTCTGCATACTGTAGCTTGTATATCTCTGCAGCTATAAATACACATTTACATTGACTAAAAAAGCTGGTGTTTCTCCTTGAGCAGTGTCAGGAACCAAAATCTACACATTTAGTAATGCCCTTTGAACGTAGAGCAGTAGGCAGTAACTTATAAAGCAATCCATTGATCTTATCAAAATAATTTTTATTCTAGATCTTGAGATCAGAAAGCTGCACACTGCAGCTGTGTACAACAAAGATGAGGGCGAAGACAACACAAAAGGTTCCAAATTGATATTTACATGTTATCATACATCACATTTTATTTTTGATAGTTTGAATTGATAGCTACAAATAAAGTGGAATTACAAAAGTTTGGAGAAATACAAAACCTTGAAGGGCTCTCTGGCGTAGCAAAGATATATTTAACATTAGTACTTTCAGTTGAAACATAAAGACAGCAAAAAACACTTGAATAAAGTGTAAAAAGCTTTTTTTTTTTTTTTATCTAAAAACAATGTATTATAAAATACCATTCGACTGTCATAGACATCATTTGTAATAGTGTCTTTGTAGTACAGTCCAATTGCTGCATTAGAGAAGAACTATGAATGTTGTAAATAAAATGTTTAACAGGAGTGACATTCAGAACAGAATCTTAGATTGAGCGGGATGCAGGGACATGAAGCTGCTGTAGGAGACTGAAGCACAGAGAGGATTAAATGTGTGATGGCTTATTAACACTTCTCCCTGTTTCTCCATTTTGGTCTAAAGTGCAAAAAGAAGCCTCATTCTGGCTATGACTGTACAATGGTATTTTATAACTAAAAGCCACTCCCTCATTGCAACTTCAGGTGATGCAAAAGAACAAGCCTTTTGTTTTTCCAGCCGTCCTTAAACCACACGAGTGGAGTACAGAATAGGTTGCTGTGCTAGCATATATATCATTAGTATGTAGATAACCATGTTACATCAAGTCACACGCGGCAGGTCAGTTTCACCCTGTCAGACAAACAGCACTGACCTGCTTTAAAAACAGCAAGTCCAAAAACTATACACAAAAGCAGTGCTGTCTGTGCATAGGCCTGACCCGAGCCTTTTGCAGAGAGCACGAGGGACTGCAGCCACCTGACTAGCACGGCCAACCAAAGCAGGAGCAGCAGTGCCACGCCAAGCGTGAAAGCTGTGGACTTAACAAAAACAAAATAAGCTTAAGCCATCCACACCGCAACATGTAAGAAAGCAACCTGTCTGATGTTTAATGACCAAGCCTGAGAACAGGACACAATGGAGCAGCTCAGTCTGATTATCATTCAGCTATTGAGGAAATAAGCACACTGATGACAACATGAGGTTGCTCAGATGCTGTGACGGCCTTGTATCCGGGACCTGTTCACTTTGCATCAGTTCAGGACAGCGCTTGTGACCGCACAGCCTCTACCCTGAGGCCCCCATCACCACTGAGTTTACTCACAGAACCTGATGTCCAACACCATTTCTGACGCTTGAGGATACATGTTGCGCATAGGACACTTTACCATTAACTCCATATTGTCTACTACAGAGGGACCACCTGAATATTACATCTGACAAACTTCATTCTGAGAGCTCTACAATACATTTCTTTGAGCTTAAGTACTTCTCTCCAACACCAGATGACAAAAGTTGCGTAAAATCCAAATTCTACAAAACAATGTTTACAGGACAGTGTTGATTTATGTAATATGCACACATTAACTAAAAAAAAGTCATTCAAGTTTTATGAAAGATCCAAGTGTGATTTGGTTTTTTGGAGTTTGTTTCAATGAGTCCATACACACCTTTCTCTTGTTTGTCTGATCTATGTGAACGGGTGCAGTTCAGTCCTTAGTGTATGTGGGGGGGAGCTTCCATTTGGCTTTAAAACCAGACCATGGCCTCAGATAGGACTACAGCAGTGTGACGTACAGGCAGCGCAGTCAGTTGGTTTGGCTATGTACACATTCGTAGTCGGTCCATGGTTCCCCAGACCTTCGTCATTTTCTCAGGTCTAATACACAAACCTGCAAAGATAAAGAGCATGTCATGACCTTGATTCTCCATTATTTGATTGAACACCGAATGTCATAAACTTAATGATAACCCAGCAAGATGTAGACTTTGGCATATAAACAGTCTGCTTGGGTGTTGTTACATAAATAAACAACAAAAGTAAAAATGTCTGTCCAAATAGTAGTTTTAACAGCAGATGATAAACTTACAGATCCATCCGACGCGCTGGCCCCTACTTTGTCTCCTGTGGCGTTCCAGCAAACCTCAAAGATGCCCCCGGTTCCACGATAGCTGTGGACCAATGCTCCCGTCTACAGCAATCAACAAGCACATGAAAACATATTAAAATTTCACACAGTACAGCTGTTTAAGTCTTTGATTTTTGGGTCCTGACTTTTTTGTTTTGTTATTTTTAGTTTGTTATGCTAAAATGTATTTTAGAAATATATACCGTACATATTTATATTATTTTAAAAAATCTAAACATAGTTCATATATCTACTCGATTCATATCTACTGTAATGCAAATCCTTTAATTTTATTATATTTAAACTGAGAAAATAACTTGAGGCAGACTGGACGTTTTGCTTGGCCCCCATCACTGAGTTCACACAAGAGGCGGTAACGCAAATGATTGGAACAGTTCTGACCTGCGTGTTCCAGATGTGGACACACTTGTCAAAGGAGCCGCTGGCCAGGTGGCGTCCATCAGGGCTGAAGGCCACGCTGTAGACAGGCTCCTGGTGCCGGGTCAGAGTGTGGATGCACACGCCCCTCTCTACGTCCCACAGACGAACGGTGGAGTCAAAGGACGCACTGGCAAAGCACACGCAAGGGTTAGACATACTCACCACTCACCACTGTCATCTGTGGGCTGACATTACAACACTAAACACCACCCACCTGGCCAGCATGAGGTTGGCACTAGGGTTGTTGGTCCCAGGGCCTGTGGGGCTCCACTTGATTGTATAGATTTCTTTACTGTGAGCTTGGAGGTCATGAACACATGTGTCCTGTTTCATACTCCAGATCTAATATACAAGAGTCATGAGGACATAATATAACAGGTTTATAAAATGAGACATAATACTGGTCTCACCTTCAGTGTCATGTCATCAGAACAAGATGCCAGCAAACTGCCAGTGGGATCCCATTTTATGGCATTCACCTCATTCTAGGTAGATGAAACGAACAGTCAATATATTGATAGTTAAAGCACATGCTTTGCAGTATATTTTAGCACAGAAACAGTGATATAAATATATATAAATGTTGGCTGTTAGCACATCTGTCAGATGAGTGGATCTTCACTCATCAGTAGGTTCTTACAGTGTGTCCCTGGAAGGTCTTGACGGGCCTGTCCTGGCCCAGTTTACAAACATGTATGCACATGTCTGTGCTGCATGATGCAAACGTGTTGTTGCTTTGCCAGTCTACGTCCAGGGCAGGAGCTGAGGGAGAAGAAAGAAAATGGTTCAACTTAGTGAAAAATTTAGACTTCGTGATCACAAAAATGTGCTGCCTACATTAAGTGTCTTTCAATTTGGAAATAAGGTTTGTATATAAAAATGTATTAGGTTAAACAAGCTGAAAAGCCAAAGCCAAGAAGTCCAAATGCCTGAGTAATGCATAATATGAAACCATGAAATAATAAATCAGGAGGACACAGTGACAGACTCCACACTAAAGCAGCTAAACTATCTCACCTGAGTGGAAAGGAAACTGCTGCTTTGCCTCTCCTGTGTGAGCATCCCAGATAATTGTTGTCTGTTACAAAAAATAGGAGAGGAACCAATAGTATTAATACAATAGTTTTTGATTTGCAGAAAATAATTTGCCAACTCAACTAAAAGTTCAATATATGGATATATAGACTTGTACTTTGGTGTATGTGCACTAGATGGCATCAGAGAATTGTGCAAATTGTATGTTCTTTGAGTATTAACAAATCCATAGGCCATTTAGCGTATTCTACAAAAACAACACATTTCTTACCTTGTCTACACCAGCACTTAGAATAAAGTTTCCTTTCTTATTCCACTTGAGTGCAAATATAGGCCCTTTGTGCTGCCCTAAAGTACTTGCAAGGTTACCTAGGAAGGAAGAAATGGTATAAAGAAATCAGTTTTGATATGATGGTGATAAACTTCTAACAGTGAAGCTGAAAGTACCGTCTTTTGTCCATATTCTTGCAAAACCATCATATGAACCTGTGGCAAGTAGTGTGCCTTCACTCTGAAATGATGACAAAACAAATTCCTTATTGCAAGTGTCACTGATGAAGTTGGACCATAGAAGGTAGCTTTATGGAGCAAAGCTAGTTAAACTAAAGCTAGTTAAACTAAAACAAATTGACATACTACAGTAAATAATATGTAAATGACTGAATGACAAAACATACTTTCTCAAAACAGAGTACATTTCAACAGAGCTGCTTCTATTAAAGAAAACTTGGCAGTGGAACAGATTCAAAGCCGTGCGCACTCACATTCCAGTCGAGTGAGGTGACGTCTTTGTTGCTGGGTACGTCCTGGCCTCCTTCCCGAATGCAGTGCCTCAGAACCAGCTGAGTGGACCCGCCTGAGCTGTTCTCACTCAAGTTCCAGATCCGAGCTGTCGAGTCCCCAGACCTGTTAACAACATCATTTACAATCTTTACTGCGGATCCAGGCAAAAGTATGTATACAATCACTATCACTTAGTCAAAAAGGCATATCAAATGTAAAAGTATTTCATCCACCAACTTCCCATCTAGTGCAATAATGCCTTACTGGATTGACAATTTGCAGTCAGACTGAACATTTTAACTATACAGTGGTCCCTCGTTTATCGCGGGTGTTACGTTCCAAAAATAACCCGCGATAGGTGAAATCCGCGAAGTAGTCAACTTTATATTTTACAATTATTATATCTGTTTTAATGCTGTAAAACCCCTCACCACACACTTTATACACTTTTCTGAGATAGGACAGGGGCAAATTTTTTCCTTCTTTAAACTTATTGCTGCTGTCGTCCTTTTGTTACTTTCCTCCTTTATGTAACAAACTGAAGATTTATTTATTCCATAATGGAGCCCTACAGCACAGAGTCCTGCACGGGTCAATTTTTGGAGACCTGCACCCGCGCAGTACAGCGCCGCAACCGTGCAGTACAGCGCCGCACCCACGCGTTAACCCGAGATTATATCAAACTTTTGCACTGCCTACGCCACGGACTGAACCAAGACTAAACCAGGACTAAACCAGGACTAAACCAGGACTAACCTAGGACTGATTGCAGGACTGAAGTGGAGGACTAAACCAGGACTGAACTAGGACTAAAACAGGAGTCGCCTAACCCAGGACTAACCTAGGACTGATTGCAGGACTGAAGTGGAGGACTAAACCAGGACTGAACTAGGACTAAAACAGGAGTAGCCTAAACCAGGACTAAACCAGAAATGAAACAGGACTCACTGTTGGGACGGGCTTGGAGGTGACTGCAGGAGAAAGCACCCGCACAGAGCTCCGCACCTCACAGAGGTAATGCGGCAATTGGCCCATCACGCTTTGAGGAAAAACTGCTCGGCATTCTCTCTTATAAGTCCAAGATTAGTACTGGTTTGGACCTGGTTTAGTCCTGACTAGGGCTGGGCGATATGGATCAAAAAATATATCTCGATATATTTTTGCTATATCTCGATATACGATATATATCTCGATATATGTTCAAGAAAAAATAACCCCCTAAAACTGAAAACTGCAAAAACAAATCTGCCAAATTCCACAAGGTCCTTTTTTTTATTGAAGTGTAAGAGGTCGGCAGTTCATATAGGAACATTTAAGACTACAAAAAACCCTAATTACATAAATAATAATTTAACTGTAAAATAAAAGAAATAATACATATTTCCTTCTTTTCATTCATAAATAAACCAACTCAACACAAGCTCATCTTTGCATTAACTGTTATCCAAACCAGAATCATAACCATGAGCTCATTTAGCAGAAGAAGCTCAGGATGTTCCTTATTTCAATAGATCCATGTTATTATCCAGCAGTAAGGAGCTCTGAGATTTCCCACAATCCACTGCAGACCAAACCCAACGTTTCCAAACACTATTGTACAAGTGACACTGCAGCAGATTATTAATTAAAAATATTCTGCATAAATAAATTTTACATTGCTAAACTTTACAATATATAAAGCATAACGACTCTAGAGCCACATCAGCCCGTTTGCGATAATAATGTGTTTAATGCAGTTCTGCGCACGTGTGTTTACATTTTACAGAAACGAAACTTAAGCGCATGGCTCATTTGCATAAACAGCGCACTTCTCACGCAGCTCACCTCGTTTAGCTTCTTTCGGGCTAAAGGACGCGACTCGGTGGAATATGAGGATGTGCTGTTGATCGTTTTGTCTGTAAATGGTGGAAAAGGTTCGTGGTGCTTGAAGCTTTTCACTGACACCAACTTTCGGCGTTCATGGCGATAGTGAAGAGTGAAGGAGACACGAGCGAACAAAATCAGGGAGGCGGAGGCGACGAGAGAGAAGACAAACAAGCGAAGCGGCGAAATCATATCGAGTTTAAAAACTCAATATATTTAAAATATCGATATATCGCCCACCCCTAGTCCTGACAAACCCGTGTGTAATTACTACCCACCCGTAATACGCAATACGCGTTCATACACTGCTTAAAAAAAAAAAAGCATGCAAAATTGCACAAAAAAAATCCACGAAACAGCGAGACCACAAAAAGGTGACTGTATACTACATTTATATTTACCCTATTCACTTAGTCAGTTATCATGTACTGCCAATGTATTAAGCAGATGTGGGACACAGGGACAGGTTTATGAATATAATTACAGAAAGAAAGGTTTGGAAAGAGCCTGTTTTCTTACAGTAGAAATTAAGCTGTAAAAAGTTAACTGACCCTGATGCAAGCAGGTCATTGACTGGGTTCCAGGCACAGATGAACACTTCAGATTCATGGCCTCTCAGGACCATGGCTTTACTCTGGGGAATCTCCACATCCCTGTCCACCTCCATCACCTCTGAATGGTGATCTGTGGAAAGAAATATCATGTTATTCTATGTTTCAACAAAAATAAAGCTTGAGGCCTTTTCAGGTAGCCAAGAACAATTGTAGTTTTGGTATATGTGATCTAAGGCATCTGAAGATGGCCTGTGTAGGGTAGGAGGGGCATGGGCTAGCTTACTGGCTAAAGTGTGCGATCCATTTTCTTCACCATTTGCAGTGCCCTCTCCATTCTTGGTGCTTCCCTGGGTCCCACTGCCAGCTGCTGCCTGCTGCTGCGCCGCCATCTTGTCCCTGTATGCCTGCTGTCTGGTTTGGACCACATCTGGCATCACAGCATCGATCAGAGACAAGGACTCAATGGGCCTCCCATCAAACAATGTCCCATCCTGAAACAAATTAAAAGAGCTATGAGAAACATGCTGCAGTAAAGCCTGGGAGTTAGTATCAGCAGATATGCAATGCAATGTGGTGGCCAAGGAGCTCTCATAATTTACTGGCCATTATTTTTAAGAAGCATAAACAGATCAGCACAATCAGTGAACATGAGTCTAGTGTATGCTCTATCAGAGAGAATAATTATTATTCAGACCATGTATATCTCTCTATTTTTCAGATTCTTAAATACTGATCCAAGTACATACTTAGCACCACAGAACGTTGTAACTAAATGGTGTCATACACTGTCACGCCTCTGTACAATGTTAAGTATCACAGCAGTTAAAAACTCCCCATATAAAAAACACACATAATGCTAAATGCATAAAGTACATTTGGGGTTTGAGCATCACCTCATTGATGCTGACTTCAGCCTCCACATACTGCAGACCCTTCTGGATGATAGATATAAGGGCAGCAGGGGGCACCAGGGCTCCATTGATGTTGGACTGGCTGATGTGGCTCTCTATGCCAAAGGTAAATGCAGAGTGGGAGAAGCCTTGAGGAATAACAAAATAAAAAATAAAAAAAACAATGTTAGAACACAAATCCTACAATGTTTTAAAAGGAGAAATATTAGGCTGCTGGCGCACCTGACTCTTGCAGATATCTGTAAACCAGGAAGTTAACCTCATCGCTGCTTATGCTCATTTTGGGTCCCAGTGATCAAACCATTGGCTCAACACAGGAGAGGGGCCTATAAGCAAACATAGAGTGAGAACTGTGTGACTAAATCTCATCTCACTGCATTAACATTCTGTAGTAACACAAATAGACAGTAAAAGTGTCACAACATGGAGGGCATGGAGCCAGGTGTATGCTCACAGGATGAGGTTACACCATGAGTCACAGCAAACACCAAGTGCCACACACATGGAAACTGGAGCAGCGGTAAAAACTAGGGCTGTGGTCGACAACAGATATTCTTGACCGACTAAGACTACCCAGTGCATCTACTAGGGGTTGCCAAAGTGGAGGCTGTGAGATGATTTAAATTATTATTTTTTTTTATATGACACTATATTAAATAAACTAAGAGAATGAAAAAAGTACATTTGTGTGAACACAATAAACCACACAAATAAAGAATATTAAATTTGATCTAACAGATTTTGCCACTCAAAATTGTTATCAACGCCAATTAATGTTCTCAATTAGACAATGAAAAGGTGTTTGCGTGAGGCTGAAGAAATCAAATTAGTCAGTAAAAAGGTAGAAATTAGTAACAATTTATTGCTAAAAGTCTGTCCAATTCCATCCAACTTGACATACACATCTTGAGAACAGCTTTTTAGAGAATGCCAATGCTCAGTCAGTTCTACTTATTTGTCTGTGTCTGTGATCTTAATACTTACAAGATGCAGACAGAGCACAGTGATCTGATTCTGTCATTACATGCTGCTTTTATAATATACTCTATGCTATACAAAATGTTAATGCACATTACTATACAATTATCTTTGATTTATTATATATTCGTTTTTGTAGATTTATAGATTTAAGAGACAATATTAGAGACAATATTACCCATGAGAGGTTTTCAAATCCCTGCCATAGCAAGGATGTCTTCAGTGAGAAATGTTGGGCCCTGAAGAGAAACAAAAGAACAAAATGGGTAAACAGTTGATAAAACATCGGAATTTGAATTAAAAAAATTAAGAAATGTTTCATCAGGATATGATATGTGACTTTCCAAAATTTTACTGGACAATACAATAACTGTGTGTCCATTTGCAGTATAAAGCTAGGTCCATTAAGTTGACATTTCGGTCTAAGTTAGTGTAGTATTTTTCTGGGAATTAAATTGGCAATTCTTAAAATTAAAATAGCAAGTGAAAAGACTCAAAAAATCTGCAGCTGAGGCATAACAAGTAAATAAGAGTTAGTATCGCATCTTTTAGATTCAACAGAATCACATCACGAACTGATATATATTTAGAAAAGTTGGGACGCTCGAATAAATTGTAAACAAAGTACACCTCGATAGAAGTATACAGTCAGTGGAAAAAAAAAAAAAAAACATCAGTGAGGTTTATGTTGTTGAGAGGGAGATTCACATGACACCTGTCACCAAAGGACAGAGAAAAAATTAAATATCAGGCTTAATCTGGTCAGGGGATTCCGCAAAGAACAAGCTTAAGATTAACATAGGGGCAAAAACAGTATAGTGCAGTTAATTATACTTAGATCGATATTAAACCACTAGTTGGTATTACAGGACACTATCTGATAGGCGTTAGTCCATTGGCTGCTCTGCTGTGACCGTACCCTTCACCACTCACGCTAGTTTGGCATGGTCCTGTAACAATTTAAATTTTAAAGATGAAAGTTTATGCTTCAAACGCGGCAACGTCCAACTTTGGGCACTAACTGTAATGCAGTTTTCTCGGAATAACACGTATTTATATCTAGGAGCAAGCGCGTGGTATAAAACAATCGATTAGTATCAAATTAAACCTGCTAACATTAGCAGCTAACCATAGCATGCTAAGCTAATGACAGAGCTGCTATGTTTGCTACATACCTACTTTAGTCAATGATTTTAAAGCCTTGTCCGTTACTCTGGAAGCTACAATAAAACCATACTAGTTTAAGGTTAAATTGTGTCACCTTTTGCAAATACATGCAGTAATATAAGGTATAAAATGAATGCTAAAGCAGGCGGTAAGGGCCAGCAGCGGCTACAGAGACACTCGCCACAGCATAGTGACCTGTCATGGCAAAATTAGCTGCCTGAAACTACTTGTTATTTCAGCGGTTCTTTTTAGTATTATATGAATGTAGGGTTTCTGGTGAGATCAAGCATATAGCATTACAACGTAAATGTAATCCATATGTTATGTATACACTGTTTTAATGTTGTATTATACTATATTAATGATAATCATACTAACCTTTACGCGCCGAAGGACGACGATGGAAAAGTAGTGTTCTCTGCTGTTCCTAAAATGTGTCTCTGGAGGGTTTACTACACTGAAGCACGATAAATTCCTCCTAGCTAAACAAATGGCGTTAAAAGTTGGTTGCGGACATACACTGTATATAGAAGTCAGTGGTTGCGGAGAGCGCCACCCCCTCAACAGCAGTCATAACAAACTGAGTCCTTCTCCCATCCCCCTCAGCTCATTTTGGCGTGGTGGGTCTTTACTCGCTGTGGATTAACGACACCTCCCCCTCCGCTATTGCCCAGTCATTCAGACTGGGAAAATCAACAACAGCCTTACATCATCATTTCGCTCTGATTTATACATTTGATTAATTCTGCATAACTAATTTACAAACATTTTTACATCTCTCAGAGTTAACTGTGTAGAGTCATTATGCTGTGAAAAAATAAAAGAATAGAAAATCAGAGATGACCACCTTCCTTGTATACTCCGGTTCATCTATCCGCAGTTGTTGTGTAGTTATTACAGCATGCATACGGTCTTTAGATAATTAATAAATGTTATGCAACAGTAAATATCTATTATTTCAAATTAGATCTAGATTAATCTTATGTGTCAGCTACAATTTAATTGGCCCATAGACCTATAATAAGATTTTATTATAGTTCTATGAATTGCCCTTATTAAATTAGATTTTTGGCCTTGACATTAGCCAAGGTTTCTCAAAATTGTGACTGGTGACTTGACTTTAGAATTTGACTTATACTTGTGAACTATAAGTCAAACCCAGGTTTTGTGTCTGATTTATTTTCGACAGGAGATAATACATTTTAGCTATTGACATCCAATGTGATTGCACAGTTCATGCAATTGTTTTTGCATGAACTGGGCTAAATCTAGGCTACATTTGATTTGCCCAAATTACCATTAATGGCTGTACAAATTACTAAAAGCTTTTCTATGGTGAATCATACAGTCTATGATCATACCCCACTTGGAAATAAGATGAGCAGGGAATAATTTTCTGAGAACACAGCGCCCTCCTGTGGCAAAACGCTCTTTTACCACGTGGCCCATTCAGACTACAGTCAGTATCCATCTCATGTTCACATTTATGTGGTCCCCCTGCCTTCTCCTGACGAACTTGGCTATAGATACATGGCCACCCTGAAGTCAACCCCAATCTGCTGCTATATTTAGCAGCTCAGTTAGGGCTCGTTGTGTCTCGGTTTTAAGCGTGACTTCATTGTGTAGGGGACATATAACTTGTAGGTACAGGTATGGCTGGAATGGCACTTGGAGTTTAAATAAGAGGTAGCCATCTGAGTGCTGGGCGAGCAAATGGAGCTTGTCGGAATAGCCACTGCTGACAACTGTTTGAATCCCACAGAAAGGATTATAATGACAGCCTACTGGACAAGAGGTAGGCCTGAGTGAGTGGGTATCTCAGTACAGTTATTTCAACACAGCACACATTAGACCGACTCTAAAAGATGCTAGAGATTATCTGTGATGTGCAATGTTCAAGTGTCTGTGGTCAGAGGGAAAACTATGTGCTAGAGTCTACCTTGGATCTATTAGGAGCCTATACACAGATGGGATATTGTAGTTCTGAGATCCATACATACATAAAATCAGTGTAGACTGATTTTTACAGGCAACTGCTCTAAATGATAACTCTAAAAATACAATCAGATAACATACATGTTTAAGATTTGAAACAGTTTGCTGCTTCTTTTAGCAAAACATTGCAGTCCATTTGGATTGTTGTGCGGCATTTTGTTAGGCTAAATATCAACGTGTTTTTGGCCTTTGATTTTAATGTGCCATGTGTTTTGTGTGTTCATAAAATAGAGTTTAAAAATCAATGCAAAAACGTAATAAACAATTGATGGAAGTTAATACATATTTTGGTTTAATTTGCACTTTTTTTTGCAACTACATTCTAAATCTTACACTAAACTTGAGATGTGTTGCAAGCTGATGCTAGTAGCCTGTGTGATGTATGGTGTGTCAAAGAGTGCATTTTAAGGCAGAGAGAACTCCAAGCACCTGACATGAAAGCAATAATCACTAGAAGGACGAGGCAAAAATACATCTCGAGACATTTTTCATCAAAGAGAGCGCTGATAGCAGGCTGGGCTCTGAATGCCACTGGGCTGTGGAACATGGTGCCAAGAGTAAACACTAAAGCAAATGTATAGGATCAAAACCATTCCCCAGAGACAGCCATATGACGTCAGGTATACTTTCATAGTTTCATTTCACTGCAATAAAAACAAACATCCTCTTCCGTAATCATGTGGTTTCATACCACTCATTTGAGAATTGTATATAGTCATTTTGGCTTTTGGGCCCTGGATGAAAAAGTAGAAGTTGGAAATGTAAGGACATCTTTAACGGTGAAGTTTGGCCAGATGTACTATACAGTTCCACATCAAAAAGTTCACTTCAGTGCATTGAAAACCAAATAGGGGATCTTATTTAAATAAATTATATGGACAAAGTTCTGTAAAATGACTTTAAGTCCAGCTGTATCAAAATAGTCAAATGAGAACCCAACTAGCATGGTTATAGAATAAACTATAGTAGGGAGAGCTGAAAAGAAGATGTATGACACTGGCGTTCTAAAGGAGAGGTTGATTTACCATCAGTACAGGACATGAACCCTCAAAACAGAATGATATTGTCCATTCCAGTCGAGTGCAGTTCAGTCTGCCTATGCTTCCATTGTAGGGAGTATTATAACTCTGATGATGCATGCTAAGAAAACAAGGTCTGAACTGGCTGTGAGCGCCTTCAGTAAACGCAAGAACTGTAATTTCTGTAACACGTGGCAAGGCAAGCTAGTTTATAAGAAAGACATTGACCCTGTTTCACAAAGAAAGATCAATTAACGTAAGGGTTTAAGAGTAAACTCAGGGTTAATGAGACAGACAACTCAGAGTTTTCTGTTTCACAAAGCAGGTTTGAAGCAGTTAGGAAACTCAGAGATAGTAAATCTTGAGTTTAGCAAAAGACATAAGACTTTATCAAGGGATACCAGAAAAGAGGATTCACCATGGCAGTAGTAAACAGATTTAATTGCACATTCAATTTATCCTATTTTAGTATGAAGATACTAATAATATCACTCAAAATTTCTCCATCATTTCGTTGCAGCCTACTTAGGTTAAAAATAAATAAAAACATTAAACTGTTTTTTAAAAAAAGTTAAAATTATCATTTTAATAGCTGATATCAGATTTTAAATTAAATGATCTAAGTTTTTAAATGTATCCTGCATAAATCCGGTTTTAAAAATGTACATGATTTAAACTGAATAAAGTATGATCCATGAATTTAACGATTTACACTTCTTAATACACTCAGACGGTGATGACAGATCCTACTTTTAAGTAATTTGAGTAAAAGTCACATCATTCAACTCTTGTCAAGCCTAAGTGCAGCTGGTCCTTCTGTGACTGACCGATCAAAAGTCTCCTTCAGGAGCAGACACAGGTTAAACTCAGGATTAGATCAATAAAACGTGCTCTGGACCAGGTTAGGTCCGAGTTTGGCCTCAACCTGCTTCTCGAAACACGGCCATTAAAATCACAATACCAACAAATCAAAACATCTTAAAATTAATAGAGTGCAGAATACAAATCTTCCAGTCATATAACATATACCATAAATGTTTTATTGAGTTTTTTTGTGTGTGTGTGTGTGGGTAATTAAAAATTGGGACCATAGCTATAACAAATAACAATTCAAAACAGAATGGTCAACCGAAAATAAGGTTAATTAAAATTAATGTAAAGAGTTACACAAAAGTACATAAATGGCTTATAATGTGTATCAAAAAATATAAACAAAATAAATCTACATTCAATTACTACATCCTTATGCAGTAAATTTAAAGTTGTTTGTGTCTAAGCATCTGTTATGTGAACTTACAAGGTCAGATAGACAGGCTGGAGCTCCATATATCATTAGTTGTAGCGTCAGTAGTCATGCCTTAAAAGTTATTGGGTAGGAAGTCACTTAGCTGTGTAAACCTGACCTCACTACACAGCCTTGGAGTTTAAACTCCAACGCTGCTGCTAAAGTGTGAAGTTAGCCATCCATTCTCCAAATCTGAGTGTCCATCTTTAGCTGAAATCAATACAGTTATGCGTGGAACTCAGGACACTCGGGAACCACTGGTCAATGGTGTGCAGTGACGCTGGCGAAAAGTTGGGGAGTTAGAGACAGACAGTTTAAAATTTATGTAAGTGCGATTTGCTGTTTTGGTATGCATGCAAAAATGTGCGGAATGTTAATGTATGCTTCTTTTTTTATGGGCTTTACAGTGTCCCTGGAAGTGCTGTGTTTTTGTGTCACATGGGCGTCACACAGCTGTAGGAAATTACTCACTTCCAGAGAACTTTCTGGCAAAAGTAAAATATAATAATTTGGTCCCGGGACATGGGTGAGGCCGCAGCTATCCCCCACAAAACTTTATAATCTGCCAGGCAAAATTGCTTTGTTAGTAGGTATTCATATGCAGATTTTTATTATAATAAGCAAGTTTGAGTTGATATAGTCAACATTGTATACATTTGTAGATTTCCCTTTTAAATATTTTTTACGAAAATACAGTGTAGGGAAAACTGGCTCTTGAATCACATTTGGAAGCACTGAAGTGAATCAATATTTGATATGCCTCTGTGAGTATCATGTTACAAAAATATAGGGTACCAAGGCCAAGCCCTAAGAGGGGTTAAGTCAGGAGGTACATTTGATAACCTATGCCTAAGAGATGCAATTAAAAGGCTGGGGGACAATATTTTCTATTTTGCGGATATATAGTACTAATTAAATGGCAATGGCAGCTTGCCATGTATTGAAAATAACTTGTTTTTGTGTAAAACAGGAGCTGAAGCTGTACGGTGACAGGACAATCACTTTGTGTTGACAGAGGCCTTGTTTCTACTATACACCAGGTATGCCTCAACAGCATTAGCACCTTTTATTTGTGCCTATCAATCTTGTTGTTTACTCTTTGTAACATGTCACTGTGGGCAGAATGCCATGTTTGCTTGGTGTTGGTGAACAGTCTTTTTGCTTCACAATGTCATACTGCAACCACTGACCCACTCTATAATTTGCTTTGCTGGAATTGTATTATAATAGGTTGCAATCATGCATCAAAGGTATGAAGTGTCATAGTGACTTCTTAT